CGGCCCGGCCCCTGCGGCGCCCGGCTCGCCCCGTAAGCCGAGCCTCTTCTATTCCTTCTTGACGTCCCCGCTGGTCGTCGGCTTCGCCCTGCTGCGCCTGCTGGCCTGTCACCTGGGGCTCCTCTTCGGGTGGCTCTGCCAGCGCTTCTCCCGCGCCCTCATGGCCGCCAAGAGGAGCTCCGGGACCGCGCCGGCGCCCGCCTCGCCCGCACCCCCAGCGCCCGGGCCCGGGGGCGAGGCCGAGAGCGTCTGCGTCTTCCACAAACAGGCCTTCGAGTACATCTCCATTGCCCTGCGCATCGACGAGGAAGAGAAAGGTACCCGGGGAGGTACTGGAGGGAGGCGGCCCTGGGAGGGCGGGCGCCACCTGCGTCCCTTTCCTGCACCCCCCGGACTTGATCTGGAGCCCCCAGGAGTCCCAGTCCCCACAGGCCAGACCCTGCCCTGCGACGCCTAGTGAGTGGAACCTCTCCCCATTCGGGGCGCCCTAGCTCTCTCTCCACTTTGTTTCAGCACCCCCCACACTTGTGCATTAATTTATCCAAGTCCCCCGTGAGACACGCAGACTTGCTGGGGACAGTGACAGTTGGCCTAGAGTGACCACACGGGGTTCTTTCTGACACTGTAAACAGTGTGGCATTTCTCTGAGCTGGGCTTCCAAAAGCTGTTCTGTTTTTTTCAGTTTTTTTGTTTTGTTTTGTTTGTTTTTGGTTGGTTGGTTGGTTTTTCGAGACAGGGTTTCTCTGTGTCATAACCTTAGCTGTTCTGGAACTAGCTCTGTAGACCAGGCTGTCCTCGAACTCACAGAGAGATCCACCTGTCTCTGCCTCTCAGAGTGCTGGGATTAAACCACCGCCCGGCCTAAGGCAGTCTCTTAAGTTTCTAAATTGAAATGTTAAATGAATGAGTTGGGTGGGCAGGCATTATCATTGTACTGTGAGACCTAAAACAAAGACCTCCTGCTTCTCGATGAAGGCAGGGATACTGCATACTTTAGTTTTCCTTCAAGCAACATCTTTTTTAGTCTTTTCTGTGTGCGAGGCATTGTGCTGTGCATGTGTCCCTTGGTCCTCACGGTAACTCCCATGTGAGAGTTACTATCAGGTGTTTTACCAATGAAATGACTAGTTACAAGATGAAGGAAGCAGGAGGCAGCAAATCTAGGCCAGTAACTAACTCTAAACTTCTTTGGAAAATGTTAAGTGGGGTTAGAAAGTCTTGTGTCTCCCCCTTTTTTATCGTCACCTGCAGTGTTCAGCCCCGATTCCCACCTTGGCTCGGTTAGGTCCGCTCATCAACGTTGTCCACTGTGGGAAAGGAACAATCTGTAGTTGTTTTGCAGGGTGGTTTCCACACTCAACACCAGAGACAGTTCTAGGGTGTCAGTCTTGGTGAAGAGTTTCCTTTGCGGGGCCTAAGATTGAAAAGGGGGATACAGTGAAAGAGGCAGATACCCATGATTGGGAGTCCAAAGACAGTGGAGATTCAGCTCAAGACAGTAGTAGACACAGTTAAGAATATTTAGTGTTTGTGAGAGCGAGTCTTTTTGGTGGGTTGTTCTGTTCTTACTAACTCTTGGGGAAGATCCCCCTAACTCTTGGGGATGTTGAAGGATGGCCCTCTTCCTCCTGGGGGTGATGTTGTATTGCAGTATTTTAGTGTTCCCTGGTTTTTAGACTAGTGGGACGATGTGAGAGTGGATTATTTAGGGGCTTGAGGATGTAGTTCAGGTTTTTTTTTTTTGTTTGTTTTTCGAGACAGGGTTTCTCTGCGTAGCTTTGCGCCTTTCCTGGGACTAGCTCTGTAGCCCAGGCTGGCCTCGAACTCACAGAGATCCACCTGGTTCTGCCTCCCAAGTGCTGGGATTAAAGGCGTGCGCCACCACCGCCCGGCTGTGGTTCAGTTTGAACAAGGCTTGTGCCCAGTATGCTTCAGAGCGTGCATTTGCTTCTCCCTGCTTCAGAAACAAAGCCAACAAACAGAAATTAAAACAAGCTAGTTACATTCATTCTCCTTTAAAAAGAAATAAAGCTGGGCAATCTCTCTGCACTTGGGAAACTGAAGACTGCCGTTGAGTTCAAAGCCAGCTAGGCTACGTAGCAAGACCTTGTTTCGAAAAAATAAACTGGATCTGAGCCTGGCCTACAGAGCTAATTCCAGGACTGGCAAAGCTGTCCCACCGTGAAACCCTGCCTCGGAAAACCAATAAATAAATAAGTAAAAAATAGTAAATAAACTGAATCTGCATTTAATGTATTTTCTCTTCTATCCCAGTTTTCCCCTTTTGGTATATTAGACAGTTTTGTAGCCTAACTTTAATTCCATAATTGAAAAAGAATTGACATTTGAAGTCTGTCAGCCTTTTAGCTGTACTTGACAACTGGGAACTTACTTGCAAGAGAAGTTAATTCTCTTCCCACTGCACAGACTATGTGAACAGATAGCCTGAACTGAGTATGCAGTCTTGAGAGGCTCTGGGACTCTTGTACACTGTCAAGGGGGCGGCACCCGTTAGAAACGTGTAACACACCACGTGTGCCGTGCCCACTGAGGAAGGCTCTGAGACTGCAGTTACAGACAGGTGGGAGCCACCATGTGAGTGCGTGCTGAGCCCAGCCGGGTCCCCCAAAGAGCAGCCAGTACTCCGAACCACCGGGCCGTTCATCTCTCCAGCTCTGAAGTTTTGTAGGTATTTTAACAGTTGAGTGATAATCTGTGACATCCATTTATGTACGAAGAAACCAACTAAAGAGTGGGCTCAGAGGAGCAGAAGTAGGAACAGAGTTAGGTAACCGGGCTCAATATAAAGTCATTATTTGATTTTATATTTTTTTTGAGATTATACTGTAATTACAGCATTTCTCTCTTCCCTTTCCTCCCTCCAAACTCCCCCATAGATCCCTTCTTGCTCTCTGTCAAACTTACGGCCTCTTTTTTCATTCATTGTTACATGATTTTATACTGAACAGTGGTTCTCTTTTTTTCTTTTCTTCTCTCTCTCTCTTTCTCTCTTTTTCTTGGCTTCTTGAGACAGGGTTTCTCTGTTTAGCCCTGGCTGTTCTAGAACTCTGTAGCCCAGGCTGGCCTCAAACTCAGACAGAGATCCACCTGCCTCTGCCTCCTGAGTGCTGGGATTAAAGGTGTACACCACCACCACCTGGCTGTTTCTCTCTCTCTCTTTTTAAAATTTATTTATTTTTATTTTAAGTGCATTGGTGTTTTGCTTGTGTATATGTCTGTGTGAGGGTGTCAGATCCCCTGGAACTGGAGTTACAGACAGTTGTGAGCTGCCATGTGGGTGCTGGGAATTGAACCTGGGTCCTCTGGAAGAGCAGCCAGTGCTCTTAACCACTGAGCCATCTCTCAAGCCCCTGTTTCTCTCTCTTTCTCTCTCTTTCTCTCTCTTTCTCTCTCTCTCTCTCTCTCTCTCTCTCTCTCTCTCTCTCTCTCTCTCTCTCTCTCTGTTTGTTTTTCAAAAGAGGGTTTCTCTGTGTAGTTTTGGTGCCTGTCCAGAATCTTGCTCTGTAGACCAGGCTAACCTAGAACTCACAGAGATCTACCTGCCTCTGCCTCCCGAGTGTTGGGATTAAACAACACCCCCCCAGCTGTCTCTCTTTTTTTTAATGCTGGTAAAGAGTCAGTCAGAATACTTGAGGAAAAGAGGTTGTAATAGTGGTTCTTTGGATTAACTAGAACATGACCTTGCATGTTTTGTGTCTACAGATAGATAAGTGGGTGGAGGTTCAGAAGGTGTGGTTTGATTTCTCAGGTTGGTAGTGCATAACAGTGAGGGCTTCAGTGTGCTCTGTGAAAGAAAGGGAACCAGTTTTTCAGGATGTTGTAGGGCTGAAGAATCTGGCATTAAGAACAGAAAGTGTCTAAATAAAATAGTCCTCACCAGTTAAATTTTTTTCACAGTTTTCTTTATTAATTTTCCTTGTGTGTGTGTGTTTCTGTGTGTGTACATGAACACACATGTGCCATAATGTGCATGTGGAGGTCAGAGAATGACCTGTGCTGGATGGTTCTGTCCTATCATGTGGGACCCCAAAATCAAACTCAGATTGTCAGATTAGCAGGCCCAGCCCTCTTAGTCATGTATGTATTTGGGCTCACGGTTCCAGAGCGCCAAGTCCATCACCATAATGGCAGGGTGGCTTGGCAGGCATGTGGCTGGAGCAGCAAGCTGAGAGCTCACATCTTGAACCATAAGCAAGAAGCAGGGGAAATGAAATGAGAGGAAATGGCCAGAATCTTTACACCCCGAAAGCCCGCCCCCAGGGGCACCCTTCCTCCACAAGGCCACACCTCTTAAACCTCACAAACAGCACCAGACAGGACCAGAAGTTCTAACACATCAGTGTACAGGGAGCATTCCCATTCAGACTGCCTCACCACATAATTTTGTTTGTTTGTTTGTTTGTTTGTTTGTTTTTGAGACATGGTCTCTCTACATAGCACTGGCTGGCCTCAAACTCAGATTCACCTGCCTCTTTCTCTTGAGTGCTGGGATTAAAGGAGTGCGCCTCCACTTCTGGCAGTGATTTTTCTAGTTTTGTGTAAACCAGTGTTGTACGTTAATTTAAAACACAAAAGCCTGTTCACATCTATTTTCATAAGATGAGGGTAGAGAGAGTAGAAATCAAAAGTGATTATTTTCATTCCTGAAAAGTGTACCTCTACCACTTAGGAAGAATTAATTTCAGACTTAATTTCCTTTTGCTGGGTGACTCTGCCTAAGGGCGATGGTGGTTTACACCTGTTCCCAGTACTCAGGAGGCAGAACACGTAAGCGCCTCAAAATGAAGGCGCTGTGGTCTGTGTATGGAGTTAGGCCACACAGGGCAGCCTGGTGGGACCCTGTTGCAAAGAACCCAGTGGTCTCCCGATTCGAATAAAGAAAGAATAGTGCAAGGACATAGGCCTTTTGCAAAAGCATTGTCTTTCTTCTTCCTGACTGCTCAATAGTTAGTGTGGTTTGCGCAAACAGATCTAAAGACAGCCACTGTTGGAGGCTTTATGCCTTGTTTGGTTTCTGTTATTTTCAATTATTTTATATGTATGGATGTTTTGCGTGCGTGTGCGTGTATACGTGTACCAGTGTGTGCCTGGTACCCACAGAGATCAGAATGGGGCATCTTGAGTCCCTTGGAACTGGAGTTACAGGAGGTTGTGAGCCACCACATGGGTGCTGGGAATTGAACCAGGATTCTCTGGAAGATCAGCGGGCGCTCTTAATTGCCGGACCATCTCTCCGGCCCCTTGTTTTGTTTTTTAAATCACAGTTTATGTGGTTAAGGTGGATCTTGGATAGTTCTGTTGTTCTGGTTAAATATCTAGATGAAGGAATTGCTGGGTCCTGTAGCAAATAGATTAATAATAGCATAGGAACGAACCACTGTCTTTACCCAGTTAATGGGACCAGTCTGTATAGGACCAGTAAACATGGCATTTTACTCCATTGCTTTTTGTATTAGATTGTTTGGGTGAGTTTTTTGTTGTTGTTGTTTTCTTTTAAGTTGGTTTCTTGGTCACTGTTCTATTTCTTTGAAGAGACACCATGACCAAGGCAACTCTTACAAATTAAAGCATTTAATTACAGTTTTAAAGGGTTAGTCATGGCTGGGGCATGTTGGCAGCATGGTGGCACTTGTGGTGCTGGAGTTACATCCTGACCCCCCCACACACACAGAGGGAGGGAGAGAAGGAGAGGAAGAGCGCGAGCCTGGCATGGGCTTTGAAGCCCACCCCCAGTGACACACTTCCTCCAACAAGGTCACACCTGCTCCAGCAATGCCACACCTCCTGATCCTTCTAATCCTCTCCAACAGTTCCAGTCCCTGGTGGATAAGCATTCAAACACAGTGTGGGGGCCATTCTTATTCATACTACCACAGTCGGCTTGGCTTTTCTGTTTTTAATGTAGTGGCATCTTACTGAATTCTTAGTTTGGGTGATACAGATTGAACACTAGGGCCTTGTGCTGGCTTGGCAAGCCTTCCACCACTGAGCTACAGCTCTAGATGTCTTTTTTTTCTCTCTTGAGACATGGTCTCTTGGTGTAGCTTTGCACCTTTCCTAGAACTCTGTAGCCCAGGCTGGCCTCAAACTCATAGAGATCCGCCTGGCTTTGTCTCCCCAGTGCTGGGATTAAAGGTGTGCGCCACCACCACCACCACCACCACCACCACCACCACCACCACCTGCCTTCTAGACCTCATTTTACTTTAAAAGGATTATTTCTTTCTTGTGTATGTTTGAGGTGGGGAGTGGAGTGGAATGGGGGTGCATGCTACAGTGTGTGCCTGTGGAGGTCAGCTGGCAGGCTCAGTTCTTTCTTTCCATCCTGTGGGTCCCAGGATCAAACCCCAGGTGGCCAGCCTTGGCAGGAAGTGCCTTTCCACGCTGGCCCTCACTTTAGTTTTTTGAAGCAAGGTCTCAGTTTCCTGCATTGTCCTTGAAGTCACCCTGCAGTGAAACCTTGAACTCTGAATCCTCTTCCCCTCCGCCTCTCAGCAGCTGGGATCACAGCCTGTGCTGCTGGGCTGGCGATATGGTTTTCACTTGTGTTCTCCGTGTGCTTGTTTACTAACATGGATGTATGTGTGTCTCTGGGACTGTGCATAGGTTGTTTCGTTTTCTCCACTTGGGGATTTGAGATCCCTAAGGCTTTGCACATGGCAAGAACATTTCACCACCAAACTGCATCCTCAGGTGTTCGGTCATTTTTACCACTGCTGGATGAGAGTCCTTTGTACATTCTGGCTGCAAGTCATTTGTGAAGCATGTTGTTTTTGTTTTTGTTTTTGTTTTTTTTTTTTTGAATGTTTTAGAGCCTGTTTGGTGTCTTTTCATTGTTAGAACACTGGCATTGAAGACTAAGAGTTTAAATTTGGTGAAGTTTAATTCGTCCATGGTTCTATGGCTTTTGATTTTTGTGTTCTCTTAAAAATCTAATTCACATTCTCAAAGAGTTTTCTTTAAATACTCTAAGTTTTGCAGGCTGGAGAAGGGCTGGCAAAGCGACTCGTGGAAAAGGGCCCTTGCTTCAAAGCCCGATGGCCTGAGTTTGTCCTGGAACCGACATAAAGGTGGAGGGAGGGACTCGCTCCACACGTGTGCTGTGCTCCACTCTACCCCGTGTATATTCATATGCGTGTAATGCATTGTATTATTTTAAGAGAAATTAGGTAGTATATAAGCGACAGGCATATGCTGACTAGAATGTGGCCAGTGGGCCAGTGCATGGCTCAGCAGGCTAGGCTCTTGCTGCCAAGCCTGTTCAGTCCTCAGGACCAGTAGGAAGGAGACAGCAGTCCCCTGAAGTTGTCCTCTGACTTAGGCTAGCACATGCCCACACACACACAGAGACAAAATTAAATATGTGTCATGTCAACTTTTTGATTTCTTTCATTGTATGTGTAGGAACGTTGTGCCTGAACATGTGTGTGCACACTATGTTTGTGCCTGCTGCCTAAGCAGGTCAAAAAGAGGACATCAGATCCCCTGGAACTGGAGTTATGGGTGACTGTGAGCTACCGTGTGGGTTCTGGAAATTGAAAAGGGGTCCTCTGCAAACACACGTGGTCCTGACCACTGAGCCATCCCTCCAGCCCCAATATGGAATCTTAAAAATTAAAACAGAACGTTGCCAGGGAGAACTCTGAAATACTGCCATTTGAGTGTAGATTGGTGCACCAGTGAGGTGGATCAGCAGGCGGAAAGCACTGAAGCCACTGAAGCCACTTCTAGCCGTAACAGTGAGCTCCAGGTTAAATGAAAGCTGCCGGCTCACGGAATGAGGAGAGGGCTTCGAGATGGCACAGCAGGTGAAAACTCCCGTTGCACAAGCCTGCAGCCTGTGTGATTCCCAGAACCCGAGTGAAGGTCGGAGTTCGGGAACTGACTACACCAATTGTCCTGCGCCCACGCACCCATGCCCCACCCTGTGTGATGATAAATTAGGTACTGGACACCAGCCTCTGTCTTCCATGTCACATGCAAGGGCTTGAGTACCTGCACATACATGCACACATACAAGTAAGTGACAAGTGGGAGTGGTGTGCACACCTTTAATCCCAGCACTCTGGAGGCAGAGGCAGCCATATCTCTGGGTTCAAGGCTAACCTGATCTACATAGTAAATTCCTGGACCCTATCGCAAAACAAACAAAGAAGAAATACTGCAAGTATGGGTGAATGTAGTAGAAAAGCCTGTACTAGAAGGATGTGTATTGAGGTCATGATAGTGACTTCAGGGGAGGTCACAAGGACGAGAAGAGGCACTGTAAAGGAAGTCTCTCACGATGCTGGGATGTACTCGCTTTGGTACAGTAAGAACTGTACACAAGTAAGACATTGCTAGCGACATTCTCATCACTCAGAATGTGAATGTCATTATACTGTTTGGTTTCCTTTTCAAAATACCCAGCAATGCATCTGAACAGGCATTTCCTTACTGAAGATGGGACTGGGAAGCCGGGCATGGTGGTGCCCCTGTGTAATGCTACCTAGGGATGCTGACACTCAGGGGCAGTATTTCAAGGTCATCCTCAGCTATGTAGATACTGTGCCTGGACTACATGAGACTCCATTTCAAAACAAGAAGAAAGCAGGAAGGTGAACATTCAAAGTTTCTGTTGGTTTACAGTAAACTGAGGAAGGATCTTGTAGCCTAGGCTAGCCTCAAACTTGCTCTGTAGCTGAGGAAGACCTTGAACTTTGATCTTCTTGCCACTGTGTCCAGTTTAAGGCGAAAGATTTATACGATCTGAAGAGAAACCAGAGTATTCCAGTTTAATTTATAACAAACTCTTAGTGATTTCTTCATGTGCCGTTATCAGGTACTTTTTTCAATACTTAATCTTTACTGGACACAGCAAAAACTATGATATTGTGAGAAGTAAGAAACTGCCAAATACAAGGACTGAGATAAAAAGGGAAGGGAGGCTGGACTTGCTTTAATCCCAGTTCCAAGAGGCAGAAGCTGTAGATCTCTGAGTTTAGGACCAGGCTGGTCCACATAGTGAGTTCCAGGCCCCAGAGCTATATAAAAACTGTCTTATAAGGCGGAGGCTCTGGGGAATAGGGAGTGCACATTTCTTAGTTGTTATATCGTGTCTATAAAGAGTTCACTCTACTTTGTGATCACGGCAGTTGGGATTTTTTGTTTGTTTGTTTGTGTTTTTTTTTGGTTTTCCAAGACAAGGTTTCTCTGTGTAGTTTTGGTGCCTGTCCTGGATCTTGATCTGTAGACCAGGCTGGCCTCAAACTCACAGAGATTCGCTTGGCTCTGCTTCCTGAGTGCTGGGATTAAAGGTGTGCACCACTGCCACCTGGCTCAGTTGTGATTTTTTTTTTTGTTCTGAAAATTGAAATAAAGAATGATATGGAAATTTTTATTTGATCATGTATAATGTTTCTTAGACTTACTTGATCACAACCTTTTCATGTGTCATTTATCAATATAATACATGGGGCAGTGGATGCTACATTTTTCATACTTATGATCTATACAAATAATGATTTCTATTTTTAAAACAGGACAGAAGGAACAAGCTGTGGAATGGTACAAGAAAGGTATTGAAGAACTAGAAAAAGGAATTGCTATTATAGTAACAGGCCAAGGTGGGTTATACGTATAGTTTCTATTGCCCCCTCAAATTCTACAGTAGTTAGAATTATCTCTCCAAATGCCTTATCCACGGAGAACCCCTCAGGGCTCCTCGTGGACTAAAACCCTACATACTATACTAACAACCAGGATAGCTGCTAAGTGACTCTGGGGAGCCACATAAAAGGGAAGATTCATAATGTGGGTGGGATAGATCAGGTAAAGGTGAAATGTTGAGTTGGGCGGTGGTGGCACACGCCTTTAATCCCAGCACTCGGGAGGCAGAGGCAGGCGGATCTCTGTGAGTTCGAAGCCAACCTGGGCTACATAATGAGTTCCAGGAAAGGTGCAAAGCTACACAGAGAAACCCTGTCTCGAAAAACAAAACAAAAAAGTGAAATGTTGTTAATACCATACAGTGCATGTGTGTCCCTATGAGGGTGTCGGATCCCCTGGGACTGGAGTTACATACAGCTGTGAGCTGCCATCTGGGTGCTGGGAATTGATGCCAGGGTCTTTGGAAGAGGACCCAGTGCTCTGAACCACTGAGCCATCTCCCCAGCCCTTCTTGATGGCATTGTTAATATTTGTGCATGTATGGTATTGTCTATTCTAAAAGTGAAAGTCAAGTCTCCAACATGATTTCCTGTAGCAGGCAGGCAATAACCAATCCAGTCTATGGCCTTGAAGCCATCCAAGGGTCAATACGTGATCAGTTGGTGATGAATTACTATATAGTTGGTAATGAGTCACATGTGTTATCCCTGGTTTTGAAAGCTAGTTTGCTGTGTGTAAGTAATCTTTTGTTGTTGTTAGGTGTTAGTCTTACACACTAGGCAAGTTCCCTATCTCTGAGCTACATTCCTAGCCTGATAATGTTTTCTTTCAGTACATGTTAGAATATAAACCAGGCGCACGCCTTTAATCCCAGCACTTGGGAGGCAGAGGCAGATGATCTCTGTAAGTTCAAAGTCAGTGGCTATGCAGTGCAACTGTGTCTCAAAGAAAAAAAAAAGTAAAATAAAATAAATTGGGAATTTCTTACTTTGATTTATGTTTGACTCTTTTAAACCAAAGCAGTTACTTCTGATGTTTATTTTCTGCCACCTCAAAATTAAATTATGATTCAAGCCAGGTCTATTTCTGTAATCCCAGCACTTAGGAGGGATGAGGCAGGAAGATCTCCAGTTCAGTCTAGCGTTGACTGTACAATCAGACCTGTATCAGAAACAGAACAGAAATAAAATGAGTGTCTATGATCTATGTAGCTGTAGTTAAAACATTTATTGTATACCAACTCTCCCAACAGTCACTCAGAGAGAGCATCTAATTCTTACCATAACTCCATGCTTTGCAGCTACTGTTATTATCCTTATTTGTCAAGTGAGAAACATGAAGTACAGAGATGTAACTCAACTAAGGCTTCATAGCTAACAAGTGAGAAAGTCAGTTCTGAACCCAAGCTATCAGATGTTAGCTCTTTTCCTCCTCTTCCTTATCCTTTTTGTTTTGTTTTGTTTTGTTTTTTCAAGACAGGGTTTCTCTGTGTATCTCTGGCTGTCCTGGAACTCGCTCTGTAGACCAGGCTGGCCTCAAATTCAAGAGCTCTGCCTGCCTCCACCTTCTGAGTGTTGGGATCAAGGTGTGGGCCACCACTCCTGGCTCTTTTTTATTTTTAAAGTTTTTATTTATTTTGATTTTATGTGTATGAGTGTTTTGCTAGCATGTATATTGTTTACTGTGTGTGTGCCTGGCACCTACAGAGGTCAGAGAGGGAATTAGATCTCCTGGAACTGGAATTACAGACGGGTGTGAGCCTCCATGTGGTTGCTAGGAATTGAACTCAAGACCTCTGAAAGAACAGCCAGTGCTCTTAACCTCTGAGCCATCTCTCCAGCCCCTGCAGGCTGAATTTTAGAAGTGTTATGACTGTTGTGTACTGTGTGAGCTTTCATGACAAGTCAGGTACAGTTGTGCTTAGCAGCGGGATACATTCTTATGGATCATTAGGTGGTTTCCTCACGTGACAGATTGTATCCTAGCTCAAAGACTTTTGTTATTTATTTATTTATTGTGTATGTGTATAATGTGTGGGTGTGAGTGGAGGTCAGAGGACAAGTTTTGGAGTCAGTTCTGAATTCCACTTTGGGTTCTGGGACTTGAACTCAGGTTTCGAGCCTGCAGAGCAAGCTGTTCAACTGGCCGAGCCGTCTTAGAATTAGTTCAAAGACTGAAGTATGAGGGAAAAAATGTCCTGGGCTCCATGAATATGTGTGAAATCCATGATGCTGCAGTAGATTGGAAGCCATCATGAGGAGCCATGGCAGATATTTTTGAAGTAATATGTCTATGTATAATATACATACATATTTAAGACAGGTTCCCACTGTGTATTCCAGACTGAATTGAATTCACTATTCCACCTCAGCCTCCTGAGTTCACCTAGATTTCAGGGGTCTTCATAATGCCTAGCAAAAGCATTCCGCCTCCTTCCTCTCTTCCCTCCTTCCCTTTTTGAGACAAGGTCTCACTCTGTAGTCCAGGCTGGCCTGAAACTCATTATATATCCTGACTGATATTGAACATGACTCGGTATCCAAGTCCTGGGACTGACTCGGTATCCAAGTCCTGGGATTATAAGTGTGAGACACACACTTTGCTCACCTTTAATTTCTTTATGAAGAAAGATTGTGATTCTCCATAAAGGTAATTGGAGCAACACTTAAAACACTGTTAGTAGGAAAATGTAGATATTTTACCTAATTCTTCTTTTTTTCCATTTAGGTGAACAGTATGAAAGAGCTAGACGCCTTCAAGCCAAAATGATAACTAATTTGGTTATGGCCAAGGATCGTTTACAACTTCTAGGTATCAACTTCTCTAATTAGTTATGAATATACTTGAAATGTTTAAATGAATCATTAATGGTAAGGGCTGGGCACGTAATTCAATGGTAGAGCATTTGCATAGCATGTATCAGACCCTGTGCCCAGTCTCCAGTGAGAAGTCAGTCTTTACCAGCAGGGAGAGTGGATCAGTAATTTCAGTTTTAAATTGCCTGGGTATTTATATGTGCACAGCATGCACCAGGGTGCCCATGGAGGCTAGAAGAGGGCATCAGATTCTCTGGAACTAGAGTTCCAGGTGGTTGTGAGCCACTTAATGTGGGTGGTGGGAACTGAACCTCTCTGCAAGAGCTCCAGTGCTCTTAACCATTACTGTGTCCTTCCTTCCTTCCTTCCTTCCTTCCTTCCTTCCTTCCTTCCTTCCTTCCTTCCTTCCTTCCTTCCTTCCTTCCTTCCCAGGTTTATTTTTTGTTTGTTTGTTTTGTTTTGTTTTGAGACAGGGTTTCTCTGTACAACAGTCCTGAATGTTCTGGCGCTGGATCTGTAGACCAGGCTGTCCTCAGACTCACAGAGATCTTTGTGCCTCTGCCTCCTGAGTGCTGGGATTAAAGGCGTGCGCCGCCACCGCCTGACTAACACCAGTCATATGTTAGTGGAAGGGCACAAATTCCTCTTGCCAGAGATTAGAATGTCTTCCTGTTTAGTAAGCAAGAGCTCCTCAAGCCCTTGAGAGAATGGAGACTTTTGTCTAAATGCCTGACCTTGGGTAAAAGACTTTCTTGGGGAACCAAACACTCCCATTATAGAATATTGCAGTTTTTATATGGCTTAGTTTATCCAATAGCTAAAGCTTAAAGTGAGCAAAGACGAAGGTAGACAGCTATTACTGTGACCCTGAGTAGACCTTAGGAATTTACTAATTTTGATTATCAAATATACCTCATTCATCAAACAAATCTTATTTTTCAAATACACCTTATTTATCAAGCATATGTTACTTATCTGAATTTTCTAGCAGCTTGGTGTTACCTTGTGTGGGAGTAAGCAGAGTTGTCACGCTGTATGGTTCCATGTAGGCAACGATTTTTCCAGAGAATTATTTTGTTTAAAGAGGCTGTGATTTTACACATTTTCATCCTTCAAAACCTGCATAAAATTTCCAAAAGGAAAAGGCATAAGGGAACTCCCATAACACATAATGAGAATCATTAAAAAATGAAAGTAAAGGGGTGCTGGAGAATTGTGGTCTGCAAAATCGAAATGCTGGGACTTTGTCAGGTAGCAATGGTCTCCATGCGGTCCACGCCACTATGTAGAGACCTCATAGAAATCTGCCTGCCTCTGCCTCCCAAATGCTAGATCAAAGGTGACGACACCATGCCCAGCTAAAGGGTTTTGAGTAGAGCCTTATGGTAAGGTTTTTCTGTAGAGTGATTCCCAGGGAATTAGATGTGAGGAGCTGAGGGAAGCATGACTGTTTTAGTTTACATAGCTGTGTTAGTCTGTACTACCTTAGTCATTTTAAAGAGCAGGGTTGTCTCTTTCAGTTGTTAGAACCCAGGGCCTTGCACATAGCACTGGAGTTCTCTACTGCCTAACTTCATCCTCAGTTGCTTTTTTGTTACTAGGGATTAACTGAAGCATGGTCACAGTGTGTGTGTGTGTGTGTGTGTGTGTGTGTGTGTGTGTGTGTGTGTGTGTGTGTGTATGTGTATGCAGATGCAGGTAGAATTGTAAACTCTCTACGTACTTATCTGTAACTTTTTATTCCCAGTCATCAAAAAAGTTAAGATTTTGATTTCTGCTTGTCCCCCCCACCCCACCCCCGGAGCTGAGGACTGAACCCAGGGCCTTGCACTTGCTAGGCAAGCGCTCTACCACTGAGCTAAATCCCCAACCCCAATTTCTGCTTGTCTTTATTAGATAATAAATGTTTCTGGTAACTTTTTGTGTTAATAAAGAAAACACATAATAACCAGAATTTTCCTAATTTACGCTTTCACCAACACAAGTAAGTTGTGTCTCAGTATTTTGATTTAAAGAGCATTATCATTGAGAAAAATCAGATGACCTACCTCCAGTTAACCAAAGTAAATAGAAAGGATCCAAGGTATATTGTATCAGCCACTTCTAGGACACAAAAGCTGCGCACTGCTTTGTGCTTTGTATACAAAGGGTAGCTGCTGTTTAACTGGTCCCAGAGGCATGTGATACTGCACTGTAAACCAAGCACGGTGCCTGCTTGTCTGACTTTAGGAATATAAGTCTAAGAGTTAGTATGTATGTTTGGCTTTCATTGTTTTGTATTCAATTGAGTGCTGATAATTAAACCAGGACCTTGCAAATGTTAACTGCATATTCCACACTGACTACATATACCTCACCCCAGTGCTGTACTGACACATAGATTCATTGGCTTTCTAATGCAGAAGAAAACGAACTTACTTCAGTAAAACATTTTTGGGAAAAGGTTATCCCTTATTTGGATGAGACAGATAGGTACATCACTTAGGAGCAGTGTCTGGTAGCCTGCGTATAGATGATTACCAAGGGGAGAAGGAGGGCTGCAGCCTTGCTGCAGAAGGGGAAAAAGCAACCCTTCTGCCCCATGCAGCAGGCTAAGACTCCATCTATGGAGGTTGTTATTCGAGGCGGGGTAGGTTTGGAACAAATCTTTTCATTGATTAGTTACATCTTACATGTCACAGAATTTTAAAGTTTGACTACCATCCCTCCCACTGTGTCCAAGTGGCCCATTCCCCTTTCAGGAGGCAGCTGTACTGGGTCCATTAAGAAGTTACCAGCTGTGTGTGTGTGTGTGTGTGTGTGTGTGTGTGTGTGTGTGTGTGTGTGTGTGTAGTATACTGCACACCCTGTTCATCATGCTGGTCCCCTTGCCTTGTGGCATTTTTTTTTTGCTTGGCTTAATTAAGGTAATAGAGCCAATTATGACCTTTCTTGGATTCTCCCTATTGTTTCTTTCTGTGCCATTTTAAAGTATGATTTCTTCTTAAAATTTGCTTTTGATCTTAGTGAGACCATACTGTACTTCCTCTGTAGAGCTTTTTCTTTCTTTCTAATGATTTATTTATTATCTATGTACATTGATGTTTGACCTGCATGTATATCTGTGTGAGGGTGTTGGATTCCCTAAAATTGGAGTTACAGAGTTGTGAGCTTCCATGTGGGTGCTCAGTATTGAACCCAGGTCCTCTGGAAGAACAGCCAGTGCTCTTAACTACTGAGCCATCTCTCCAGCCCTATAAAGCCTTTTCAATAGGCTTTTTGTAGTGTACAATCTTTTAGATAGTTATGTTGAACTGGTTGTGATAATACAGGTCTATCTATCTATCTATCTATCTATCTATTGACAGGGTTTCTCTGTGTAGCCTTGGCTACCCTGGAACTCACTCTGTAGACTAGGCTGGCCTCAAACTCCCAGAGATCTGCCTGCCTCTGTCTCTCAAGTGCTGGGATCACGGGCGTGCACCACTACTGCTTGGCTGAGTACAGGTCTTTAACGCCAACAGAGCTCAGCGGATCTCTGAGTACAGGGCCAACCTGGTCTCTACATAGTAAGTTTTATGACAGCCAAGGCTACATAAACAGACCCCATCTCTAATAATAACAGTAATAATAAGTACTAATACAGTTATGCTCTAAGTTGCCAATAATATTTAGTGTTTGTAGATAGTAAGAGCCAGTCACTTTTTATCCAAATATCACTATGTTAGGGATTTGAGCATATGATAAGCAGCCATCACGTGCTGTTGATAATAGTGATAAGTAACTGTCTTAGGTTACCAGCCCGAGTAAGATGTGTTTTCAACATAGCCTTCCACATGTTAATTTCTCTACTTTTCATGTGAGTTCTTACTAGTTACATATTTTAGAGAACATTGCATATATGTGCAAAAACCTCACTGACTGACAGCTTTGTAACACAATAATTTTCCATTCTCCACATGCCTTTTATTTGTTTATTTTTCTTTCTGTTTATTTTGTCCTTTTTTAACCTCCTCTGTTGCATAGAGAAGCTGCAACCAGTTTTGCAATTTTCCAAGTCACAAACGGATGTCTATAATGACAGTACTAACCTGATGTGCCGCAATGGACATCTCCAGTCAGGTATGTTTTGACTAACTAATGTAAACTGAAGCTTGCATGGGAAATGGACTTTTGTTTACCCTGTAATGTTGATTTAGCTATATAGTGGAAGGTGTAACTGTTTTGTTTTCACAGGATTAGGAGAGCACACAGTATCCTCATCATTCATAGTGTCCTAACATATGACAGATGTAGTAGAGCCATTCTGAACATACCTGTTCACATGTTTTCCAGCTTCCCACTTATAACATATGGGAGGTGGTACTCTCATTACTGTCTAGCCCACTGGCCCTGAAATTGTACTCAATAAACCTGTTCTTTTAGAAAAAGAAAGTATATGTACATGTGTATGTGTATGTGCGTTTGTGTGTGTGTGTCTGTGTTTGTGAACACATTTGGAGGTCAGAGGAGGACAACTGGAAGAAGGGGTTCTCTTCGACTACCATGTGTGTCCTTGGGATTAACCTCAGGCTGTCAACCTGGCAGCCAGTGCCCTGCTCCACTGAGACATCTCAGACCCCGATTTGATCTTATTGTTGTTGACTTTTGTCACTCGGGACAGGGTCTTACTGTGTAGCCCTGCATGGTGCGGAATGTACTACACGGACCAGGTGTCTTTTAACTTGAAAACTCTGTCAGTGTTCATGCCTCTGCTTCCCCAGTATTGGAATTACAAACACACTGCACCATGTCTGTACATAATTTTATTAGTTTTTATTAATTTTTTGAGTCAGGCTCTCACTGTGTAGTCCTGGCTGCCTGGAACTCTCTAGACTAGGCTGGTTTCAACTCCCAAGATCTGCCTGCCTCTGCATCAAGTACTGGGATTAAAGTTGTGCACCCCCACACTCAGCCTGTATAAGTTCCTTCAAATAATTAAAATGTTTTCATTTTTGTTGTATTTAAGTGTTTGTGGGGTGTTTTGTGTGTGTGTGTTTTTAACATGGAAACTTTAATACTTGGTCAAACATCGATTTTTACTGTGTATCCGTACCTGCCTCTACCTCCCTGGCACTAGGACTCGTTTTGGGTGTGGGGTCTCATATATCCCAGCTGGCCTTGAACTTGTATGTGGTTAAAGATCACTAATACCACAAACCCAGTTTTATTGGTCTTAGGCTCCCCCCTCTCCCCAGCTTCTTGCATGCTAGGTGTTTTAGTTAGGGTTTCTGTTGCTGTGAAGAGACACCATAACCACGGAAACTCTTACAAAGAAAACATTTAATTGGAGTGGCTCACCTACAGTTTCAGAGGTTCAGTCCATTATCATCATAGTAAGGATCATGCAGCGTGCAGGCCGATATGGTGCTGGCTACATCTTGATATGTAGGCCACAGGAAGTAGATTGAGACACTGGGTGGTATCCTGAGCATAGGAAACCTCAGAGCCCACCCCACAGTGACACACTTCCTCCAACAAGGCCATACCCGCTCCAACAAAGCCACACCTCCTAATAATGCCACTTCTTATGTATGTACCACTGCTACATACATCCTTAGCCACTCTGATTTTTTTTTTTTTTTTAATGAAAGTCTTCTGTCTTTCTTGTGGTAGTTCTTTTCTAGAAATTTCTTTCTTTTTTGGGGGAGGGGATGGTTCAAGACAAGGTTTCTCTGTGTAACAGCTCTGTCTGTCCTGGAACTTGCTTTGTAGACCAGGCTGTCTTTAAATTCACAGAGTCTCTGCCTCCCAAGTGCTGGGATTACAGTTGTGCACCACCACCTCCTGGCTCAGAAGTAAGCATTTTTTTAAAAGATTGATTTATTTATTATATATACAATGTATGCCTGCATACCAGAAGAGGGCACCAGATCTCATTACAGATGGTTGTGAGCCACCATATGGTGCTGGGAATTGAACTCAGGGCCTCTGGAAGAACAGCCAGTGCTCCTGACCTCCAACCTATCTCCAGCCTTGATAAGTAAGCATTTTTAATGCTCTAAGGTTCTCAAAGCACATCTCTTAGGGATCCCCAAGACCCTTTTAGGAAGCACAACTTTCGTAATTATACTACAGGTCAAATTTTTCATAATACTGAAGCATTGTGTGTTGCCTTCCCTGGACTGGTATTTGCCCTGACGTTTCCTTGACAACCTTGGAGGACATCTGAACTTCAGATGTCCTATGAGCAGATGCAAAAAACTGTAGTAACACTCACTGCATCCTTCACAACCGTAACTTCACCTAACGGTTCACACAGGAAATGTCCTTGATAGAGCTGGAAGTATTATACTGTTGATGTAACTAACCGTCTTATTAAATAAGAAACACAGAAACAATGTAAAGGAGAAAGCCGAGAGGTCAGAGCTCAGAGCTAAAATCTCACCCTTCCGCCTGCGGTGTCCCAGCTTCCCGAAAGAGAGCTACTTCCTGTCTATAAATCG